TATGTATGAGTAATTTGTGTATTGAAACCTGAACTGAAATATATATAGCATTTAGTTGATGTGTTCTAAAGAATATTACAGAAATTTGAGTGGATGTGGTGGTTCATACCTGTAATTCCAGCACTTTGGAAGGCTGAAGCAGGAGGATTGCTTGAGCCCAGGAGTTTGAAACTACCCTAGGTAACATAGTGAGACCAGTTTTTCATCTCTACAAAAAATTAAAAAATTAGCTAGGATGTGGTTGTGCGGCTGTAGTCCCAGCTATTTGAGAGGATCACTTGAGCATAGGAGTTTGAGGGTTGCAGGGAGCTAGATTGGGCTACTGCACGCCAGCCTGGGTGACAGTGTGACCTTGTCTCTTAAAAAAAAAAATTACATGAATTAGATTGATGAATTTGCTTTTCCTTGTTATTTGCCTTTCTTGTATGGGATTCAATATTTAATAATAAACCTGTTAAGACTCTTTTGGTTTGAGTATATGTGTGCCTCTGTGTTTGATTTAGTGGTGTTTTCTGATGAAACACTATTTTTCAAATAACATAGCTAATTCATAAACATTTGAAAGTTTCCTTGTGTTGTTGGGACCTAATAGTATAGGCTAATTTTCTTCAGTATAGAATTTTACTTAAAATTATGAACTTTTTAAAAGTTTTTTTATAAAGGTATTTTCATAATGATTTGCCTTTTTTTTTTTTTTTTTTTATAATTTTGCAGCCTGCCTCATCTGGAGATGATAGAGCCATGTGTTTTACTTGTAGTGTATGTCTCGTTTGTTGGGAACCAACTGATGAACCTTGGTGAGTCTTGATATTTTTGGGCATAATAGGCTAAGTTAGTGCTATAAATGTGCTTGCAAATTTTACTTTTCTGATCTTGATAAAATTGCTTGCCTTTTTGCCATCTGTATTTTTGCTGTTGTCGTAAGAGAATGAGGTAGCCCTGTCCTCTATTACACCACGTGGCATCCAATGTCTCTAAGGTCCATGACTTTCTAAAATTTGTACATAGGAGAAAGAATACACCCAGGCTCTGACCAAAACCCAGAGGCTGTGATAAAATCAACTCTAATATGAGCTTCAGCAGTTTAATCTTGGTCTGTTGAGGGCAGGCTGTCAGTATAGAATCCATGAAGGAGGGCGTTATAGAATACATTTCTAATTTGGAAGTAATGTTAGGGTGTCTCTGGTGGCTTTGAATTCTGGTGCATGAAATTTTAGAACCTGGTTAAACTGTAGAATATCATGTCTTGAAACTTCATTTTTACGTATAACTACTTTGAGGCCTTACTAAGAGAAATAGTAATGATAATAGCAAATATTTATATAATACCAGGTGCCATTCTAAGCACTTTATATAATTTTAACTCATTTAATTCTCTCATTAACCCTGTGAAGTAGGTACTATTACCATCTTCAATTTATAGGAGGAAACTAAGAATATGCTCCAGTTTAATCCTTACAGTCGCTCTATGAACTGGGACTTATTATCTCATTTTAAAATGAAGAAACAAAATATTCTGAAGGGCAGATGGCTAGTAACTGATAGAACCAGGTTTTGGTTTTAAGTAATGTCACTTATTTTGTATTAAAATTAGTTTGAAGTTTGTGAATGTGTCATCAGCGGATGTGAATGGGATAAACTTGGTAAAGCTTGTTGTAGTGTACATATGGATTCCAGGTTGCATTGCCAAGTACCGTGTGAAAAATTCAAATTGCATCTATCTGCAAACTGGGAGTTGAATACAGCAGTTCCCCCTTGTATGAGGGAGATATGTTCCAAGACCCACAGTGGATGCCTCAAACCATGCATAGTACTGAACCCCATATGTACTATGTTTTTTCCTTATACCCATACCTGTAATAAAGTTGAATTTATAAATCAGGCACAGTAAGATTAACAGCAATAACTAATGATAAAATAGGACAGTTATAACAATATACTATAATAAAAGTTATGTGAATGTGGCGCATGCCTCTCTCTCTTTTGTTCTTTTTCTCTCTCAATACCTTATTGTACTGTACTCACCTCTTTTTGGACGATGGTTGACCACGGGTAAATTGAAATCATGGAGAGTGAAACTAGATGAGGGGAGACTACTGTATGAGCAATTTCCAGTTTAATTCAAATTTCTATTCAGAATGCAGTCTTTCCGTATAGAAGCCGTCTTTATATATACAGAAACCATTTCAATATATAATTTTTAGTTTCGTAGGCCAATCCTCATACAGTTATTTAATACATACCTGAAAAATTGTACCATGATATAATAGAACGTAATCTTATTTATAAATAGTTTCTTTGGAAATTTGATTCAAATTTCCAACTTGGGCTGCTCAAAACCCATCTTTTCTTTTCTTTTTTTTTTTGGGGGGGGGACAGAGTCTCACTCTGTTGCCCAAGCTAGAGTGCCATGGCATCAACCTAGCTCACAACAACCT